TTTTTCCCCATAGGCACTTTAACATCCACCTCCATCTTGTCCAGTGCTTTTTTTTGCTAGTTTATCAGCAACTTCATTACCAGATACCCCAACATGTGCTGGCACCCAACAAAAATATACCATTATTCCAGCCTCTTTCAATCTGTATAAAGATAGATACACTTCCATTAATAAATCTTCTCTGTCTGATCTCGCATGTGCTATACTAATTAAAGCTGATATAGAAATAGGAACTTTAAAGTCCTTTCAAATGTTTAAAAGTAATTTCGAAAAGGAAGATACACAAGAGATTTGCTTTACAAAGCAAATCCTGCTGTTAAAATAGTAAATTTAACGGTTATTTTAGTATTATATATAACTTGTTTGTTATTGTAAAACTTATACATGTTTTTAAAATAATTTTTCATCATATATTTAGTAATGATTAAACCCCTTTTATTTCCACAATCGAGCATTGGCTGACAGAACTCCAACTTGTGACGTAGTAGAACCGCAAATGATTATGGTTTCACCTAGGTCCTTTAGCGAACTATAAAGTAACCTATTTCGTTTATTCTTATCATATCTTTATTTGTAGAAAGTTACAAAAAATTGATCGATATGTCTGGACGAGGTAAAGGCGGTAAAGGTCTCGGAAAAGGAGGCGCTAAGCGCCACCGAAAGGTTCTCCGGGATAACATCCAGGGCATCACTAAACCCGCTATTCGTCGTCTGGCGCGCCGCGGCGGCGTCAAGCGTATCTCTGGTCTGATCTATGAGGAGACGCGCGGTGTGCTGAAGGTGTTTCTGGAGAACGTGATTCGAGATGCTGTGACCTACACTGAGCACGCTAAAAGAAAGACCGTCACCGCCATGGATGTGGTTTATGCTCTGAAGCGACAGGGACGCACTCTGTACGGATTCGGAGGCTAAGTGATTCCTGGAGAAAACACAACCCCAACGGCTCTTTTAAGAGCCACACACGATTTCATACAAAGAACAAGTTTCTAATTTGTATAATAGTATGTTTATTGCAGTGTTATTCGAATTGTTATCAAGGTTTTTTTTTTATATATATATTCTTACTGTTAATAAATTAATGTTTGTTTTCTGTTGTCTTCATTAAGTTATAGTGATGGTATTTGCATTGAGGAATAAGTTAATGTTAGATTTGTATAATTCTAATTAAATTTGATATTTTACGTAATAATATATGATTATCCAAAACAAAGTTTTAGCGATGTTTAATTTACTTCTATGTTCCGAAAAATGCGGAGAAATCAAACAG